CTTCTCTTTTTGGCTGGGCTGGGCTAGAGTAGAAGTGAGAAATATTTTGGGACCCTGCACACTGTTGGAAGAACAGGGTCCCAGTAAGTGATGGAGAACTGCATTATGATTTGTGTCTAGGGTTTTGGGCAATGTAGAACATGTGCTTCCCCAGTTTCAGCTTGGGCTGAAAGGCTACTGATCTGGCTTTGATTTTATATGTAAATAAAAGCAATATTATACAGGGTAAGGTGTGTTAGGCACACACCTACTAACCCAAGTATAATTAATGAATTCTTTACTTTGTTTTTACAGATTTGTTCGGACCGTGCTACCATTTTCTCAGGAGTTTCAGAGAGATAAGCAGCCTAATGCACAGCCGCAGTATCTCTATGGATCAAAGGTTGGATTTAATTCCCTTTATATTTACAGTTTGCTAATGTTTAAAGATACTTTATGGAAAGTTATTAAAAATGGACTCAAATACAATTGTGAGTATTTCAATTTCAACATACAAGCTTTTTTCAGACTTTATGTGGAGCTCACCATATGTTTCAGCCAAAGTGCAAGTGATTAGTCTGATGGTTAGTCTTATCTGACACAGCTGTCTGACACCTTGCATTGCACGGTGGCTTATAGTGGCAAAGGAGACTTCAAGAAAAGATTAGTTAGTCATCTGGTGAAGTGAGAGCAAGAGCCCATCTTGAGTGCAGCTGCTCCCTTGTTACAGTGAAGAAAATGTGATGGCAGGAGAAAAGGGAAAATATATGGAAAACTTCTTCAGATGTTATCTGACTTAGAAGGAATCATAGATTTTGACCATCTTAAACTAGCAGATATCAAACTGCTTAAATTATTAAATAAATTTAAAAAAAAAAAAAGGAAAGAGAAAAGTAGCATTTCTTTGGCATCTTCAACCCAAGAACCTCGAAGTTGTTGTGATGAACTTGGCCTTCTGGCCATCTCATCTCCTCTGTTAGTATCATCTTTCTTTCTTTGTAGATTAGGAGTGCCTGGAATGTTTATGCAAGATTTCAATGGAAGTGTACATGACATGCTGTCATGTACTCTGTGCCTTAAGGCAGTGTCCAGTGCTGAGGTTGGAAAGGAGCTTATATGGGTAACAAGTTGAGAGAGAGTACTTAGCCCAAGAGAACAGTCGTGGGCTTTCATACAGTTACCCAAGGGAGGAAAGTTAGCCCGTATTCACAGGACCAATGGTATGTTCACGCGTGCAGTGTTGTATGTTGGACGGATAGATTTATTCTCCCTTATCACTGCAGATTTATTTTTTTATGCTTCAGAATTATTACCCGAATCTTAATGACAGCTAAAGGCATAGCACATATATCTGCATTTTTACTATCCAGTCAGAAATATTGAGCTTCTTCCAACAGCAGTAAAAACCAGCAGCAGTGTCTTCAGCAAGTCATTTGGGAATATTTAACAAGATGTCACTCTTAATTTTGCATTGTTTTCTTGAGTATCAGTGTGGCAAAATAAAAGTATGGGAAAGATGAATAAAAGCATAAGGATCAAATTAGAGGGTTGTTGACTAAAAAAAAAGCATTATATAATTATGTACTCAATTATCTTTGTAATTTATATATGTACTGTGTTGTTTTCTCATCTGACTACTTTCATTATCTAGCTTCTACTTAAACATGAGCATAATTAGTCCTTGTGTTACTGTTACATTCTGCACATCATATCCTAGTTATACTCTGTAATCTCTGTGAAGTGATTTGCCCAGCAAGCTAGTTTTCGAGAGCTGAAGAGATAGCTCAGAAGTTACAAATTTCAATCCTAATGTATCTGGTGCATTTGTAAAACTTTCGTGCTTTTAAAATGGTGGAAGGTGAATAAGGATTCACATCTTTAATGTGGAACGTAACAGCTGATTGTCTGGTAGTGTGAACAGTGTTTTCTACAATTATCCTCCAACAGGGAACAGTAAATTATAGGGAAGTGGGATTTTCTTACATTGGAGTTACAGTGTTCCTTACTATTTTAGGATTTCACCAGATGCACTGTAAAGAGCAAAAAACCCACTGAATTTAGCAGAGATAGCTAACTTAATTTATCTAAGTGATGATACAGTGGGGTGAATGAAAGAGGATTACCTGGGGAACCCAGTTATCAGTCAGGTTACATTATTAAAATGAGTTTAGTAATCTTTATTCTGAGGTATACTCAGAAATCTGATTGTTTTTCTGTATGAGCAGAAGCAATCGAGGGGGCTCTGAGATGCATTTCTGGAGCAAATTTCCTACTAGATATGCCTATACTATCAAATATTCCTGTCTCTCTGTAGCTTTAAATTTTTACAAGAGTATATTTTTATTTTTGAATCTAAAGTGTTCTGGAATTGAGGATATCTGAATGGAATTTTAGGAGGATATTTCTGTTGTATATAGCAAGCAACAGTAATTCTTATGTGATAGAGGCTACACATTCTAGTGTGTGATATAACTGTATGATATTATTCTATATACTATATAGCCAGTCTTGTCACATCCTTGTTTGGGTCCTTTAACGGTTATATGTATTTTTAATTTTACTGTATTTTTGAGTTTTCTTGAACTACTCAAGTTATCGAGGTTAGTCCTTTATATTGATCACATATCCAAGGAGTATAACTTTTTATTTTTCTCATTGGACTTTGTTGGTTGGTATTGTTGGGGGTTTTTTTGTGTGTGTTTTTTTTTTTTTTTTTTTGTTTGGGGTTGGTGGGGTGGGAGTGGTTGTTTTGGGTTGTTTGGTTGGGTTTTTTTAACAATACATGATGTTTATTTAGGTTAAGAAAAAAGTACTGTAGTTACTTGTGCGTATGTACACTCAAACATGCGCATATTGGACTGTAATGACTACCTTTCGTGCAGAAGCTTTGAAGAAGCAATGTGCTTGCTTGAGAGAAATTAAAGAAATTTTTAGTTTTTATTTCAAAGTGTTCACGTATTCACAGATATTTCTAAAAGGATCAAAGCAACTGGTCTATATGTGGTATATGCTTGGCATATACAGTTATGTCCACATTCTCTGTTGCATCTAGAGTTTTCTGAGTAGTATCTTCATCCAATTAGCAAAACAGAAACCCACAGATACAACTCACTTCTCCTGGCTGACTTGGGAGCAGAGCTGTCAGGAAGGAGCTGACCTGCAAAAGCTCATCAGCCTTTCAAGTGGGTTGGAGTATTTTAAAAGCTTATAGGGCATGATCATTAAAATACCTTTACTCAGGTGAAGTGTGTGTAGGATTAATGAAATGAATGTTAGCAGATTGAAATTTGGTAACATTGGCTGGATGCATAAAATAATAATCTAAGAGCCTCATCTAGGGACTTGAAACTAACTTTGCATGTTAATAAAGTACCTGGTTTTATAGAGGCTGTGTAGACCAGAATTTAAGAGCTTCCTTTCTGGCTTATACAACTTTTTCCAAGGATTTTCATGTTTGTTTATCTTCTGCATTTTGTGGATGCTAACTCATTTTTTTAGTGAACAAAGACCCCTTTGGAAAATACTTCTCAGTGTGAATATAATGATTTTTATCTACTGCTGGTGCACAAATTAACATCAGTTTGCACTATGTTGCATCTTATTATGGGTTTAGTAATCACATAGAATGCTTGCCCCTTACTAGATCACTGTTAAAACTGGACAGTGAACTACAGAAACGCAGAGTTGCCAGAATGAACCTGAATGAATTTGTAATAAAACTTTCTGAGCAAGAGACAAAGAATCATGTAGCTTTGAGTGTGTGATGACATGAATTCATCAAAACCAGTGCAGAAGTCAGATGACACTGCTTATGCATTGCCCATTTGCAGTGGGTGTGAGACGGTCCATAGTGAGATAATATAAATGTTTATCTAAGAAATGCGCAGCAAACTCCACGGGTGAAATGGCTTATATTTAGATGAAGTAAATCCCATTCCTGGGGCACTTCCAGGGTAGCTCCTTGCCTTCTCAATGTGAGATAGATATATATATAGATATATAGATATATAGATATATATATGTGTCTTTTTGTATATAGGTTTTTGTGTATAAATATCAAAATTTGTTAGGTGAATTGCCTCAGAGTTGCTTTAAGACTGAACTGCTCCTTGTTCTCAGTATGGTATATACAAGTATTATAACATATAAATGCATGTAAATATATGTATTAGACTGCCTTAAAACCTGTCTAAACAAAGAGAAATGTAGAGAAGTGAACAGGATTTCAAGGACCCAAGATGTTGGCAGAGATGAGAATGTGTCTCTTGGCTCCATCCCTATAACACTAAAATCATCTTTTCTCTCTTTGATGAGAGAAGTGTTAACCGTTAATTTAATTACAAGATCGTTTTAAAGCATTTTTTTCTGTCTGCCGCCCCTCTTTGGCAGTAAACCTGTAGTGTTGGCTTTATGCTCAGAAGTGTTCTTCAGTGTTTGTTTCATAAAACACCTTCATTTGGAACAGCAGTAAACTGTTGTCATCTGCACAGTTTATTTAAGACTGAGGTGTAAGACAAAGAAAAGCGTGTCAGCTGGAGGAAACAGGGTATAGGCTGTGGAGAACATGTTGTTGCTAACTTAACACAATGAAGATGCCTTTTGAAGTGTTTTCTAAAACTAATACTCGCCCCCATTCAGCACGGGTTTCTGTGTCTCTGCTTCTTTCCTACTAGGATAGGTATGAAAATACATCAAACTTATGCCAGCTCATGTCTTCCTAGCAATATGAGAGTTGATGTCTTTCGCAAGTTGTGGGAAATACTGTCAAAATACAGTAGCTGAAAAGACCCACTGCTTGGTATGAAATATTTGGCTGGTGCTCTCCTGCCAAAAGCATACAACCCCTTGGCTTCCAGGGTGCAGTGGGACAGGATGGCAGCTGCCCAGCCAGCAGTTCTGCGGCCTTCACTGGTACAACCAGGCTGTGTCAGCAAGAGCTGACTTTATGTGTATGTTCATGTCAATAGCAGTTTATAATGGCTGCAGTCACAGTGTACCTTTGTTTTGTAGACATACCATACTATACAGCAATACTTAAGATTTATTACGGTTTTATGCAACACAAATGCACTTAAGAGATTTAAAACAGGGTGACTTATACGTGTAAGCCAGGTAAGACTTGTCATGTTGTGAGGGTGAACAGATTTCTGTTCAAAGGGCCTTTCTTGGTACTTTGCTGTGAAGCTCAAGGGAGAGTGAAATGAACATCAGATTTTCTTGTTATAATATTAAAATGTGTTTTGGCAAGTTTTTACTTCCTTGCTACCTTCATTACACAACGTACTGAGTGGTTGGACAGAAATTTGTAGCTGGTGAATGATTTTTATCATTAAAACTGAAAGGGAAAGAGGGAAGGAAGGGCCAGGACTTCGGTTCTCTGAACTCCATTTTCTCTACAGGGAGTTACTTGCCCGTGAAGCAGAAGGTAGCTCGTGGTGGGTGCAGAAGAGTGCAAAATACAATAACCCAGAATATTACCTTAGTTTCATTGGAAGTGTCCTTACAGAGTTGTTATCTTGCACATGTTTTTAGGCCAAAGGGAATTTTCAGACAGAAATCCAGGTGAGTTTGGCTTACGTCCTGAGACTGACCTCATTCACATGGGAGCTATGGAGAACACCATGGTCAGCAAAGTGCGTTGTCTGAGTGTGGTAGTTTGTAGTGTGTAGTTTGAGAAGCAGTCAGGATTGTGGGAGTAGAATTCACTCTGGAAAACCACTGCACTTCGATCGTACATTCCAGTTACCCATAATGTAGCACTCTGGGTTGCCATCTGAAAACTTCTACTCAGCTTTGTTTATGCTAGTAAAAACCAAAAAAGTCTCTTGGTCACTTTTGATTAATTCTCATATTTATTTGCAGTTTTAGACTAACGAAAGCAGCCAAAAAAAACCCAAACCCTTGAAATGTAAATCAATTACTTGCTACATGCTTCATTTTTAAATAAGAGTGTGGCTGAAGTTCTCACTTCTTGGGCATCTGAACCTCTGTCTCTGAGTACCTGGCTGTGTATAGGCTGTTGGAAATAGATGTGACACCAGAGGTACAGCCAGGAGTACTGCAGTGAGCAGTTGGAGCTGCCCATTATGAACGCTGACAATGCACATGATGAGTTTGAAGCAGTTGGGATGTCAAGGCAGCAAAAATCTCCTCCCTGACAAAAGGTTTCTAATTTATAGCAGAGCACTGTCCAGTCATTGGCACTTGTTCCTGGCTTTTGGAAGTCGGCATGGGAGGCTCCTTGCACACTGAAGGATTCTCTATGATTGTGGCTAGCTGGATGTCACTTGGATGCTTTTCCTCAGTGTCCTGCATCAGTTGGCTCTGCCTGCTGAGCTCCTCCAAGGCGTATGCTGCGCTTTTGGTCCACACTTTCCCGTGGTCTTGCTTGGAGGTCCCATTCGGCCCTTGCAAGTGCTCACGTCTCCTGCGGCACACAAGGTGCAGGCAGCCATACAGGAGGACTGCAGCAATGATGAGGAGCAGAATGCTGCTGGTGAGCCAGATGCCCAGTGCCAGCTCTTTCTTGGTGTTGCTAGCAGATGCTGGGTCTCGTTCCAGTGTGTTAAAAACTCTGCACTGGTCACTGGAGGGGTTTGCAGACTGGCAGGTCACGCACACAATGTACGTTGTTAGCGGAGTTAGGTTTTCAACAACAAAGGAGGAACGGCTGGTGGGCACCCTCTCTTCCTTCTGAAAGTTCTTTCTCGAGTAACTGGATAGCATGCTGTTCCAGTTAGGGTGGTACATGATGCTGTAAAAGCTGTCGGCACAGCTGGCCATTTTTGGCCAAATTACCATTGCTGTGTTTCCTGTGATGTTTTGGACGGTTATTCCCATCAGGATGCTTCTCAGGTGTTTTCTTCTCTCCCGATGCCGATCTTGCTTTGGGAAGGGAAGATGTTCGTTTTACAGGGAGGTAACGTAGAAGCTGCAGCACTGGGGATGCTGTGTGGATTGTAATTGTAGTGCTCTGTAATTGAGGAAAGGAGTTTATAAGGAAACTGCTCTTGGTACTGCTATGTAAAAGTGACAACTGGAAGTTCATAAAGTTTGGAGTATTTAAAACTGTGCATTTCTTTCCTGAGTGAAAGGATAAACATATGCTTATAGAAATTCAACCAGAGCTGCTGCCTGTACAGGTGACTGGTTGTATCTTGTCTCCATGAGACACAGTGTGTTTGGCAGAATTTGCAATTGGGGAACCACTTCTTTTCAGTTGTTTTTTTTTTTTTTTTTTAAGATGACTCAAAAATTAATGCAGCAGTTGTTTTTCTCTCTAGTCTGAGTATCTTGCATTTTATTTTACTAACTAGGTGTTATACATAATCTCAAAGCTTGCTTTTGTGAGCAGTGAATTTTCTAATGTTAAGTGGCAAGAGAGGGGTGGCAGGAATGGATATTGAGTGATAAATTCCTCTACCATCCATAAGTCTTCATTTTTGCCAGTCTCAATCAATTGGAAAACAAAACAACATGTGGAAACATCATCACATTATTTTGTCTCCAGTATTGTTTGCATTAGTTTCTTATTCACCAATACTCTCTGGTTTTTTGCCTGTGAGTTAGCACATCTGTACCCACTGACAGAGCAGTGGCTGTGATATGATAGCATCAGTATTACAACATTTAGTCTTGATGCTAGTCATCCTCTTTGAAGAAAGCTAAGCTTAGTTAATGAAAAACAGTTTTCACTATAGCATATCTTTTGGATGAATAGTGGATTTTTAAAAGAATGACTGAGACTCATTTCTGTTCAAGTGATTGTATGTAATTCCATAGTCTGTCTGCCCTGAACTATACTCCTCATGATAAAATTAAAATCAGAAAAACTGCCAGTGTTTTGAGATTTTCAGTTTGTTACCACTGTAAATAGTAAAAAGAAAACACCTACTGCAATTTTCCAAACACATCTATTAAGGAATATATCATAACAGCCAGTGCGTGTTTGCATTTGTTTGGCAAGGTTTTTTTGCTTTTATTGTTGTTGTGGGTAACTTTTGAAGAAGAGCCTCCCTCAGCAATTTAGTTTGTTTCTCTTAGTTTAATAGCCAGTTTCTAGTGACACTGATGTGAGTATTTTCCACCATGAAAGTTTCTTACTTTTTCAATGAAGATAAATCCCCATGTAATTAACACTGTATTTCATTGTTTATGACTTCATCATAAAAATGAAATTATTATTTTTTATGATTAGGTTTAAAATGTTTAGTCTCCTGATTAAATAACAACTGACTGTTGAAAATTCTCCTGGTGAAGACACCTTGTCAGATTTGCTCCTAATATATTCTGAAAATATTCTCTAATACTTTTATTGTATTTTATTCTAGATAGGAGGCTGGCAAATATATATATTATTTTAGTGGGATATTGATAGTTATATTAATTGTAATAATTCTGTGACTGTATGAAAATTGTTGCTTGAGGTGTTTGGATTATGTTTACTGGGAAGTGGGAAGAAAAAGATGTGTTTATTTTCAATACAATGTGAAACCTTAGATATGACTGATCTAGGTAATGCTGCCGTTCTAATTGTGTGGTAAGTGCACCCTTTTTGATACAGCAACAATATAAAGGAACTGAGTTTGCTATCAAATAAACTTATTAGACACATTTTTGCATCTAACAGTTTTTCCAGACATTAAAATGGGACACATTAGTAAGATCAGAGCTTTTATTTGCTCAGTTGTCTCCTCTTTAGCCAGTAGATCCTAGTTACTTAAAATTGTAATTTGTTTTTTATAGAACACTTCCTAATACAGTCTACAAACAATAGTTTATCCTCATGGCATTTTCCAAGTAGGATGGCTGGATTTTATTTAAATAATAACAATACATTTCTATTGCCATGAAACAACAGTTATTAAAGACACATAATTACTGACATGTAAATGGTTGGAAAACCTATTTGATGGTTTATAGATTATAAAGTCAGTACTTACCGCCACTTCCTGACAGAAATTTCAGAACAGAATTTTCATACGGTGACGCTGCTGTGAAAATGACATAAACGCTAAGTTTTCTGCCTCCCTTTTCACATGAGTTATTTCCTGCCTGATCTCTGCTTGCCAGTTTGCTTATTCTTCCCCTCAGATTCTCTGGACTTGAATTCTCATTGCTTGGTGCTTTCAGTTTTTTTCTCTGATGCTGCTGGTGGCATGGATTCTTTGTCTCTTCCACTTAAATTCATGCAAGAGAACATCTTGTCTAAAGATGCTGTTGCTTTGCTTTTCAAAGAATGTACAGGAGAAAAAATGTCTTTTCTCCACTCTCTTCCTTGCCTCCCTTTGGACAGTGTACTGCCTGAACATCCCTGTTATATCCCTCTCGTGCGTGTACCAGTGATGCTGTGAGTGATTAATGTTAGCACTTTGATGACATCAGCAGCTAGCAACTCTCCTTTTTTTTTTTCCTCCTTAAATTTAAGTAGGGGAGGGAGCAAGCATAGCTTACAAAATAATGAACTCCCTCTTTCCTTCCCTCTCTCTCCACCCCCACCCCTTTGCTAGTGGCTTCTTCCCTAAGCTTTTTCTGCTTTTGTGCATCAGGGGGGAAAGTGGTGATGGCGTCTGATGGTGTTTTCTAAATCCCTTGCCACAGTTTATAAAGCTCTGCTAATCCAGTCTTAACAGGTGGTCCATTTTAGGTACTACCCCATGAGGGTTACATTAACAAAAGATGTAGTTTTAGATTGGCTGGCTTATTGTTATGTATTAGTGAGTTTCTAAATACTGAAATAATGTTTTCAGGGATTGCTTTTCTATGATGAATTTCTGCTGCATGAAGAGGAGTTCCCTCCCCTTAACCTCATGGCAGTAAAATGCTTTAGCCTACTGAAGTAAAATTCCCCTTGCACTATAGCTGAAACAGATAGTTCATACATATTTATTGTGGAGACCTAAATGATTGGAAACATCAAAAGTAAAAGATGAAGTCTTACCTTTTGGGGACAATTGTATAGTTGCTTAGTGTATATATACTAATATATATTCTATTAGTGTATATATATATATACTAATATATTAGCATATATATTAATATATATAATAAGTAATATACATATATATATATATAAATGCTTAGTGTATTGGGATATTCATCTACATGTATTTTTTTTTAAGGGTTTACCAGTTCTGTACCCCATCAGTGCCCTAGATCCCTTTTCTGCATGCAGAGAGATCTATGGAAACACACACATTGTACTAGAGGGATAGAACTTTAGGCTGCCCACCCGGTAGGGTATGTTTGGAGTTTAGCCAGCTCCAATCTAATAGCAGGACTGTGTCGTGTATTAGGAGTCTAATAACTAGCCAAGTGCCTATTTTAGTTTGCTTTCACAAAAAAAGATGGTTGAATATTTGGAAACAGCCCTCCTTCGCAAAATCAACACAAGCCTGCGGTCATTAGAACAGAGCTTCCTGGACTAGCAGATGGCTGAGGCTTGGGGTCCCTCTAGGGCAGAGGGAACCTGCAGCAGGTTGCTCACAGACATGTCTGGTCAGGTCTCAAACGTCTCTGAAGACAGCCTTTCTGTTCGACTGCCCTCACAATAGTGAAGTTTTTCTTCTGCTGTTTAAGTGGAATTTCATGTTTGTGCCCATTATCCCACTTGTCCTGTCACTGGGCATCACTGAGCAGAGTTGGCTCCATCATCTTTAGTCCCCTCATTAGTTACCTGTGTATGTGATCCTTCTGGGCCTTCTCTTCTCCAGGATGAACAGTCCCAGCTGCCTCAGCCTTTCCTCATAGGAAAGATGCTCCGATCCCTTAATTATTTTCAAGGTCCACAGCTGGACTCTTCCATACATCTCTCCGTGTCCCTCCTGTACTGGGGAGCCCACCACTGGACCCAGCACTCCAGGTATATCTAACCCATGCTGAGTCTAGGGGTGGATCATCTCCCATTGGCAGTGCTCTGCCTCATGCAGCCCCACTGGCTGTTGGCCACCTTTGTCTTGGAGATATACTGCTGGCTTGTGGTCAGCTTCTTGTTCACTAGGACCCTCAAGATAAGGAAAAAAAAACCCAAAACCCACCTTCTGTAGGTTAGGCTGTCTTCCTCTATTGGTTTGTCACACAGATAGAGGCAGAAGTTCAGGTACATGTAAGGATTAACTAAACCTCTCAGAAGTAAATTTTGGTACTGGCAACATTCTGAAATTGTGGAAATAAATTGCTGGTTATAACTTTGTGTGTTTGTTGAAGCTTGATAAAATTTACATAATTTTCTATGGGTGAGTGTTTTAATAACTCATGCAAAGTTTCTCACTGAGGTCAGGAGTTGCTTGATTCAGAAAGTTGGGTTTGGATCTATTGTTCTCTCTTCTTGTGACCTAAGTGGTCTCTTCTGAGTCTGTGCTTTCATCTGTTTCTTTCATAGTGCAACAATTTCTGACACATGAGGGTTTGTGAAGTACATGTCAGCCATTCACAAAAGATGGCCAAGAAGTGTTAGCCTGTTGCCAAATTTGAATTTGCTACATATCAGTCTAGAACCCACCATTCAAAACATGTTGGAAACTAGTGTTTATATAAACTGGTGCTTAAATAGGAATTTACAACATAAATAAAAATGTTTATCTTCTATTCTGATCTCTTCTAAAAATTATTTGTAAGTCCTTTTATGAGACTAAAATCCCCCAAGAGCTTGGTGGTTTCACGACTTGAATTCCTAGTAGTTTCTTTGTGCAATGCCATGTATTACAGTATCTGGTATTGAATTGCACAGATAATTGAGGCAGGACCTGCACTGAAGGGAGGGTCAGTGTTCTTCCTGGATACTGGTGAAAGAAATTTTTCTGTTTCTGCTGATGTGTGTGGAGTTGCAAGTCGAACACTATGCTGTCTTTCATGCATGTATTACAGAGAATGTAAACTGCAGAAAAGAAAACATAACAGGGCCTTCTGCGAGAAAGGTTGACAAGATTCCTGTTTGAATTTCAGGATATTAGAAGAACAGCCCACTTACAGAAATGGAGGATGTTAAGTTAGCTAACTCCTGTTTGATCTGTGTCTTCAGCAAACAGTTACTAAATCTCCACACAGCATCAGTCTGTATGGTTGGATCCACTTTGAAGAAACAGTCATTAATATAGCAAAACACCTGGTCCTATATATACATCTCTGGAAGAATTTCCACGAGATTACATCACAGACTTAGATTTGCTTTGATCTTCTGTACAGTTAAGGGATTTGAAAAAGAGAGATCCTTATTAATTAGCTGCAGAGAACAATAACTGCAGAAGGCCCTTTTTTTTTGTAGTTGAGTCCTTAAAGACTTACAATACCTATTATAAACTGAAAATTGAAGTAACTTCTTTCAAGATGTTTTGTACATTAAATGGATGATACAGGAATAGCAGGTATAGAAGCTGTGCTTTAAATTCAGGGATCTCAACATTGGCATTGACTACTCATCTTTTTATACCTGTGTAAACAGAAAAACACGAAAAAGGAAATGTGCATGGCTTCATAAATGGTAAGTGGAAGATGCCTGGTGGAAAAAAAAAGTGTTTACAAATTTTTCTTGCTAATACAGGGATTTTGGTTAGCATTCCTGCCTTACAAAAGGGAAGTTTTGTGTTTTACTTCCTGGAGAAAGAAAGATACAAAGTTATTATTTTATTTTTAATATGCTTTTAAAATGCTCGTTAAATGAGATTATTATAGAGATGCAGTGAGCCAAAATTGCCATTAATCATATCTGTTCTCTTGTTTCAGGCATTGAATCTGGCATATTCCAGCATCTACAGCAACTACAGGAATTTTGTTGGTCCCCCTCACTTTAAAGTCATCTGTAGGCTTCTTGGTTATCAGGGTATTGCTGTGGTGATGGAGGAGTTGCTGAAAGTTGTCAAGAGCCTGGTATGCTAATTGTCTTTCATTTTCTGCTATTCAAAACGGTTTCTGACAGGAAATGTCTCAAGAAAAACAAAGTTAAAGTAAGACTTCTGGTAAGAGTAATTAAAATGTTACTTCTGTTGAAGTTCAATATAAGCTGTGTTTGAGACTACTCAATTTCTTGAGAGCAATAGAAGATGCGCCTCAGTGTCCAGAGCAGTGTTTTGAAAACCTTGGATTCTTTATTGAAGGTGGATTTAATTTTTGGAGATCGATGCTGTTAAGTCCTGGGTAAACTCTGGAAAAGCATGAGTGTTTCAAATTAGTTGATTTCAACTTAAAAGATTGTACTGTAAATTCACTTTTGCAATATTTTTTGAGAACAGCTGGAGCGTGCTTTCTATGTTACCTAACTTCAGGGCTTTCATTATAACATTGTTGACAGATAACACCGTAATAACATGGAAGGTTTAATCTCTGTGCTGAACCTAGCAATGGATAGCATCAAAACTATTTAGAAGAGTGCTGAGACCAGATGTTGAAGAAGTTATCCATACAGCCTGGGTATCTTCCACTGGAAGGGGCCTTTTCTGTAACGAGAGGGTTGAGAGCCTGCTGGTTCACTATATTATTAGTATCTGTGTATCTAGTCATAATGCATTGCAGTAAAGTTTAAGCCAGATAAATTGTTTTTTCCTCCCTGTCCCTGTTGTCTGTAAGGAGCATGCTGTCAAAATAATCCAGCTGTACCAGGGGATAGCTGTGGTATTCATAATCTTACTTCACACACTTGACACATTTGGCAGTTTGTTTACAGTAATTCCCACAATGTTTTTGATGTTCTAGAAAAGAGGGAGCCTGCTTGAAGGGGTGATGTGGTTTAATGTGGTTTAATCTTCAAAGAAACAGGAAAACACGGATATTTTTAATGGTTTGTTGGGGGGTGTGTGTGGTAAATTTTCTCAGTTCATTAAAGGAAGCAGTGAATGCTTGGCATTTATAAAGGAGGTTAAAAGGCCTGGGGGTAGGTATCCTGATGATGCCTGTTCAGATGCTCAGATGTAGAGAGACAGATGTGAAATAGGTGTCTAATGGGAGGACAGCAGCCTGATTGTAGGCTGGGACTGTGTCTTAACTGGTATGTCTGGAATAGTCAGTTTGAGCTGTTACAGACACACTTAATGCTGAGGGGTTTTCTCTTATTGCTGTCAAAAGGGTTCAAATGCAACTTTTTAACCCAAACTCTAAAAGTTGTTTAGATAATAGCCACAATCTGCAAGAGAAAACATGATTTCCTCTTTTTTTACCTTCGTAACCTTAGCTCTTGTGTCGCTCTTCCTGTAGCAAAAGGTGGCTAATGCCATGTGAAGGGAAGTGCAACTGTATTCATTTGACAAAACAATTAATGACTGACAGAATTAAATGCAAGATTTTTAGAGCTTGCTCAATTCATGTGTAGTTTGAATGCAAATTGTTGCAAAGTGTCTTAGTTCAGTAACAGTGACGTGTTTACACACATCTGTTTTCTCTTAGTTACAAGGGACGATTCTTCAGTATGTCAAGACCCTAATGGAAGTGATGCCTAAGATCTGTAGGTTACCAAGACATGAGTATGGTTCTCCAGGTTAGTTCATGTTTGGTGTTACCATAGCAGCCTTAATAAGATGA